ATGATTTTATTGACTATTCTGCAAGATTCAAAATGAACAAAATTACACCTAAACCTTATTTAGCAAATTTTGTTGAGGTTCAATTTAAAAGGGGCTCGAAAAACCTTTTTAATAAAACCAAATTTGGTGGACCATTGATTGAACTCAACTTTCTATTGGCCAAACATTATAAAATGACCTACCAAAACCTGCGATCAGATTGGCCCCTAAAGGAATTGACAAGGATAGGAAAGCCAAACTGCTTGCAAAAAATCGAGTATCTTTTTGGTAAGATCTGCCAGTGAACGACGGAAATGATATTGAAAGTTACTAGTATTAGATAATGTATTATTTTTAGTTAATATATGTTTTTCTTCCAAAGTTTGTGTTGTTTGCTTTTATGTTATTTGCTAAACTATGAGTACTATACTGCAAAATTACTTAGCATGTCTATACCTTAATAGTATGAGAATACTAAAACAAAAAGTCGTATCTAACAAAAGTCAATTTTTTTATCAAATCCCGAAATTTACAATCTTAAGATTTGTTGTGTAAGTTTATTAACGTAAAGTCCACATTGAGATCTTAAAAAAGAACAGTTTTGCAAATAAGCGAAGATGGCATGTCACAATTTACAAATTGCTTAATATCTCAAAACTTGGTTTTTGCAGATACGACTTCCTGTCTTAGCAGGGCAGAATAGTTGAGGGAAAAAGCAAGTTGCTAACTATCGGGGTTTCTGCAAAATTAATTTTCCAAATACCCACCGCAAAGTTCAAAACCTGGATACCAATAAGGACTATTAACGTCCACACTAAAGACTTACCGGGGCTTCTAGAAGTCCCCCACTGAATCCAGTAATACAAAGCGCAAGAAACACATGCCAGGGCTCGGTGGCGTACTGAAAAATCAACCAGGCAGCCAGAAATGGAACAGTGACGAACTGCATGGATCTTCTTCTTCCGAAAGGTTGCGTCACGTAGCCGGACAGGAAGCAGCCTAGTGGGACGCAAAGCAAGTTCACAGACCCTGGAAACCTCTAATGGTAGAATCGGATGAACATAGCGAGAGGTTGGAAGGGCTTTTACCTATCCATGAAATTGCGTCTACTCCAAGCACGATCTTCTCATCTGGATCGCCTCCGGATAGGTTGGGGATTAGGATAGTGGGAAAGCCCAGCGACATCCCGAACACGAAAAGAAGCACATTTTTCACACTGACAGCTAGAATTTGAGGCAGGGCTCTTCGTAGGGCGGATATCGTCTGCGCTTGAGGCGACGATTTTGCACTAAAAAATCAAAATTTTTGAGTATTGTTTTGATGGTAAAACATTGAACCTCCAGAATTGCTCCAGAGAGCCCGAAGAAACCATAATAATCTGGAGAGTTTGTTAGGTTTGGGAAACGCAGATGATGGAGTTTTATGATGGAATGATCAAAAATTTGGAGCCGCTGATCGCAAACAAGCCCTTCGCTAAAACAGACAAACTCCTGGCTTAGAGGTAAAAATCCAAAATCCAAGTGCGGCTTGCTCAAGTAGCTCTCGTAAAGTAAATTGCAGTCAATTATCAGGGATTTTTCCCAAGAGTTGTGTAACTTTTTGCTACTATTTCAGCATCATTTCCTCATGTGAAAATCCTTATTGACTCTCGATTGTTAGTTAACGTTTCACCGTTTTACTCTGTTGGTCAGAGGATAAAAACAGTGCAACTAATCAATTCCTGCCTTGAGACGCATGATTATTGAAAATCGGATCAATAAACTAATTAGCCACTGGAAAACAATTAAAACCACAGTTGTTTGCCGCATAAATATCATCTGGGGCATTGTGAATGGCAATTAGTCTTTTGTCGGATTTAATGCATTTGTGCTACCGGATTATCAGTGTTGGACACTTTCAGCTGGGAATGGGGGCACAGTTTTTCCGTTAGATACGCACCTGATGAGTTCTGGAATTTGCATTAAAACTTGGATAGTTAAGAACAATCATCAGACCTTGTAACAGTTTGAAATCGGTTTAAGGAATAATGCAACCCATCCACGTATTAACAATTAAGTAATTCTCTTCGAAGCAACAGTGTGCAGTCAAAACACTATTTACTCAACCCGATAAGTAACAAATATTACGTCTTCGCTTCGCTCTAGAAAGTCGTACGAAGCCTCGATATGCAATTAACCAATTGCTCAAGACTCGAGAATAAATAAAAAGGAAATACCCATTTATTTGCATACATCTTCAATAACAATAGAGTTCGGAGCATAGCAAGATGTGCTTGAAGACCTTCACGACTATTTACAAGGATTTGATGCTGGTTCATTCAATGGAAAACCGGTAATTTTGAGAATCTGTTTTTATTATCTTTTCTGAACAGGATTGGAATATTGCTTAAATTCTCGGATTCTAGCAAGAGAGTGGGAATATGTTTAATTTAATGGCAGTGTTTGGCAGTTTAAATTGCGAATACATGAGTTTTTATCTACAAAATTGCAATTTTATATTATGGGGCATTTTGAAGCCTGGCCCTAAAAATGCACCAATTTTAAGTGTTTCACCACCGTCTCGGAAATGAAGATCTTAATAATTTTAGCTGCACTAATGAAAATGATCATCAAATCTTCACTTGGACGAAAATCGGTTCTAGTTCAGATCTGCTGTTTTTACTGCAGCCAAGCGATTGTTTCACTAGATTATCGCCATGTTTGCATCTCCAACTTCAGTTAGCATGTTTGCAACAAACAATAATTCAATTGTATATTTAGTGGCAAAAATTACCACTTTTAGGTCCATGCGTTAAATATTTAGCGATCATTCAGTTGTAGTAAATTTGCTTTGAAACTTAATAGGTATAGAAAAATCGCAAAACGGAGCCACCAAAGCTAATGACTAATGGAAATAGGCGTCGATTTCAGACACAAATTGGTATAGATGTTGTCCATTAGCATGTTAACATGTGAACTGGAATTTCCCAAAACTAATAGCAACAAACAAGAAGACGCAATAGCAGAAATCATAATTAAAATTTTGATTGGTTCCTGGAATTTCCTGAAAGTTAATGTGTAATAAAGTTACCGACCGATTTACGAACCATCCTCCATGCTGGGGAAGTGAACATACGCAACTCCTGCTATCGCAGGGTCCTTGAAGTTGATTTATTCAAATTCTAGTTCAGCTGTTGTCTTTGTAGTAGAATTTTGCGATAATCCAATCACTGATTCGGAAAATGTGACGAAACTTTTCGTTACGGCACATAAAATGCCTTCAAACCATGCGTAATTAAGGCAAACGATAACATTATGGAACGTACACCTGGTAGTAAATAATTAACATTTTATTTTTAGCTGTAATTGTAGACTCGAAGTGATTGTTTAGTGGGATATCCATTATTTTTTTCTTCTATACGTTAATTGTCCAATTTTCTGTGATCTAACTATTATTACATTGCGCTAAGCTTTTTCAGACAATAACGGTACTTGCGGGGTTGAGGACGTTTGGAAAATTGCATCCTCTTCAGTTGCTATTATTAGTACCGGATGGCACGCATTCACACCAACAAACCTGCGAAATAATTAATCCAGGTTCTGGTTTGATCCTGTAAATTTGTCGATTAAACCAGATTTAAATTACAAATTGCCTGAGATAAGTAGTGTTTTGAGGTGTCTTTTGTTGTTTATGTGACAGAGTTTTCAGACTTTTTGGGAACTTTTACAAATACATTTTGCCTGTTAAAGCTTGAAGTTTTTCAAAAATGCCATCAAAAGTTGACCAACTGAAAATCTTCGTACCTTTCCACCGTCATTGTTTCAAGCCGCTCAAACACCCCCAACTAAAACACTAATCCTGCCTATCCCGCATCACTCAAAGCGCAAAATTAACCGATCTTTCCTGCAAACTTCCGCAATAAAACGCATTTAGCTGCACTTAGGCGGACGAAAACTACCATTCACTTGATTGATTTCGATAATTTCGGCTTGACCAAACACACTGAACCTGTTGGCTTGAAATTGTCGGCACTGCACTGATGGTGTTCTTGGATGGATTACCAGTTTGTCATTCATTTTCTATGGTAGGGACAATTCTACTGATTGTGGTACCGGTTTACGAGGTTCCATGCAGAAGATGCCTGAGTGGAAAGTAGTGAAAGTAGCCGGTAGTTTTACTGAACCTTGCGCGCGAGAAAAGCGGTTTTTTTGGGCTAAAACATGTTGACTGAAGAAAAAAGCGTTGACCAATCTGCATCCAACTTTGTGCGTAAAAGCACAGGGTTTAGTGGTGTTATAAGGGCAAAGCAAAACTAGAGCAACATTTTATTGAGCACAAAATTCGCCATCATCCCTTTTCGATTTAGAGCTCGATCTGCCCACCTGGTTGCTCAAGCGGACGCCCCCTTGCGCATAATGGTCGGTCACCTCACTCAAAGGCTTTCCTTCAGTTTCCGGAAGCAAAAAGTACATGAAGACCATCCCAGCTAAGGCTACAGCGCTGTACATGCAGAAAACCCCCGGAAGAGTTATCCAGTTGACCAGATCCAGAAAGGGTTTGTTTGCAATGAAGGCGATGATGTATCCAGAGCCTGCAGACAGTCCAGATGCGGTGTCCCTGATGTTATTCGGATACAGTTCCCCCATGATTATCCATGGGAGGGTGAAAGTCATCAGGTAGCTGAAGAAGCCAATGGAAAGGATGCTGATCAAAGGCAGCCAAGTGTGGTTGGGAATTGACTCCTTTGCAATCGGAGCGTCGAAGTTCCATATGCCCAGTTGGTAGGTGTAAACCCCGGTGATGATGAAGGCAACTGCGATGCCTGATTGGGCAATGAAGCACAGGAGGCGTTTCCCCAGCCATCTAACTGCAACCATCAGGCAAATGCTTCCCAGACACTCCACAAATCCTATGAGGATGGTGGCGTAGTAGGAGTCCAGGGGGACTTTGAGGAGCTCGAACAGTTTGATCGCAAATATGTTGATCTGAGTGGTGCCGGAGTAGGCCATTACAAAAGTGAGGCAAATCAAAAGATAGGGCCGCACAAAGGTGGCTTTGCCATACTGTTTAAGGGATTTTTTCCAGCTTGGCTCATCGGCCTCCAGCTGCTGGAACCTTTCGCTCAACAGTTGCAGTTCCTCCCGGACATTATCTACTTTAGTCCAGCCTCTCAACCAGGCCAGGTTTCTTCCGGCTTCATCTACCCGTTGCCTCATTATTAGCCAGTAGGGCGACTCTGGAATGAAAAACAGTAAAATCACTCCAGCCAATGGGATCGTTCCGTTTATGAGCACCATGGTTCGCCATGGGAATACCGTCCCTAGGATGAAGGACACCATCACCCCTAAGGCAATGGCTAGGGTTGAGGATGAGCACATTGCACCCCTAAGGCTCGGTTCCGTTACTTCTACCGTGTAGATCAGGGTCTGCAAACGGATTATTTGCCCTTTAGATGCAGCTAAGGTTTGTTTGCTTATGTTAATTGAAGGAAAACTCAGAAATTTTCAACATCTGTGAAACACTTAAGGAGGAAAGGATGTAGGAAAGTCAACGTGAATATTTCTTACGGGTGCTTCTAGAAGTCCTCCAGTGAACCCCGTCAAAAATAGCCCCACAAAGATATGCCAGGCTTGATTGGCGAAATGGAAGAGCAGAAATGCGGCCACAAACAGCATGCAGATGGCTTGCATCGCCTTGATTCTGCCTATCGGTTTGGTGATCGTTCCTGATAAGATGCATCCGAGCGGTACGCAGAGGTAGTTTAAAGAACCTGCAATAAACCAAAACTAAAGTCGATTTGGTTTGAAGTTGAAGGTTTTGCTGATTGGATGGAGGAGGATTATGGGGAGATGGAGAACAGTTGGAAAGAGTATGAGTGAAGAAAAATATGGCTTAAAGGGTAGTTTGTTGAACAGAAAACCTTCCCTGAATGCGATGTTTAGTGGATCCAAGTAGGTTGCAGCGAGGTTTTTCATCAAGCGAGTCCAAGAAAGCAACGGTAAGTTTATTTTATTGATTTTTTGTTTTTTGATGAAATCACGACGCCAAAGACGGTTAGAGAAGAAGGTAGCAAAGTCAATCAGGGAAACCCTGAGACAATTTTCTGATTTTGACTCGCTTCCAGTGCCCTGATGGTGGCTAAAATGTTGCCGAAAAGTTGGCCTAAGAAAAACGGGACTTTTCTAGACTCTTGCTGTTGCACCAAGTTGATGCACCAACATTCAAGGATCTTAAAAATACTTGCAATTTCCAAACACTTTGACCCTAAACATCGTGACAAACTCACCTATCCAAGAAATGCCATCCTTATCCAGCTCGATAGTTTCACCTGGTATCCCGCCCGACAAACTGGGTATGAGAATGGTAGGCAATCCCATGGTGAGCCCATAGACGACCAACAGCACGCTTTTCACACTCACAGCTAGAATTTGTGGTAAATATCTTCGGATCTTTGATATCTCTTGATCGGCCGTTGCGGTCGCACTGATCGAACTGAGACTGGAACTGTTTGAAGCCATTTGAACAGATTAAATGGCTTATGGATGGATATCTGATAGATGGTAGATACTCCCTACGTAGTTGTGGACTGATTCAAGGTGACATCAAGCAACTAACTTAATCAAATTGATTAATAATTAGAATAATGTGGCTTGTTTATACCAAATACCAACACCGCTGATTTAACATACAGAGGGGCCCAATTTAAACTAGTTCTCAGTTGGGGTCTGACGCAATGGAGCTACAAGAAAAACTTGAACTGAATTATCCAGTGTTTTTGATCCAACAAAATCTACTTACTGTTGCCTGATGATCGCATTGCTTCCACTTGCACAAACTGTTGACGAGAAAGTGTTGAAAAAGTTGACGAAGCAACGCGCAAAGACAAGGCGGTTTCCACTGAAGCATCGCGCACCATGAATTATTTGGAGGTTGCTAGAATATCAATAATTATTTTTGTTTTTGCGAATACTAACGGTTTTTTGCTTTAATTTATTTGCTCACTAATGAGTATTTGACTGCGGTACATTTGAATTTTTGAAGGTTTGGTGCGGGCAGCTTGCCCCCGGTGGGGTCTTGTGACCAATCCAACTTGGTTACCCTGGAAACGTGCGGGTGATCCTTTTTACGCAGACGGGCGAAGATTCACTGCACCAATGACTATTTTATGTTTTAAACACCAAATCTTGGCGCAATTATCAGTTAGATTCATTCGCCGTATCATCGAGAGCGAACTGTGTTAAATTGTGCCGTCAGCAATTCTTCAAGATATTAATAATTTAGCACATTTTTAGTGCATTTTTAACGGACTTGATGATTCAGCACCATCCAAAATGCATCGTTTGTAGTTCTTAAAATTAGCACAGTTAGTGTGTTTCAACATCTGGAAACTCTTCTAATTTAATGGGCAAATACGCAAAATGACCCAGTTGATCAACGACCGCGGTTGGTTGGTAGGAAAGGCTTCCACCAACTACCAGTCGCGAAAACTCTTCCATTCCCACCAGAATTCGTTCTACTACAGATTATCATAGTGCCAATTCAAATATATAGTGATTCGGTTCCATTTCGATATACAGAGCGTTTTCCAAAGCTGCTTGATATATTTCTTTTCCAAAATGATCGTTCTTTCGGCAGCGCTTTGGGCCCTTGTTTTTGGTGGTGTTTCACTCGATGTGCATGTTTTTGCCAGTAGTGATTGTAGTGATTGTTCGATGCCAGTAGTTAAATGCCAGCAGGGTAGAATGAGCGGCAAAATGTTCAAAACGCGCGAGGGTAGAGGAATTTTTGGGTTTTTGGGTATTCCCTTCGCGCTACCTCCGGTAGGCGATCTACGATTTAAGGTAAGAGAAAAACTTTTTAGTAGATTTTTCCATTGATATATCTGCATTTTGCTCAATTTTATTAAAAAGTGTGTTGGTCTTTACTAAATTCGGAATCTCACTGATTCCGAATTAACGGCGGTAGAAAGTGAGACAACACCTGTTAATGCTAATAAAGACACGAATTTTGACATACAACAATTAACCTTAATTAGTGGTTTCCTTGTTGTTTATGCACTTTTATTGATTTTCGCATGTATTTTTAGCACTGTGGTTTGCCTTTACAGATTGGTTTATTTGTTTTGGACAGCGCGATCGATTAGCTTTCACTAAAGTGAGTGTCCTCTCCATGATTGCCTTATAATTTCAATAGTTGGCCCTTGACGCACCCTGAAGATGCCAGACCTGCGTGCCAGCGAAACGTTCGCATCAAATTCCTATCGACGACGGCCTAATAACTCAAAACTTTTTCACACCAGTTTATTACTGGGAGAAAATTACAGTTTATTACTGGAAAACCACCGAGTTTTTAAACAGCCTTGATTACCAAATTTTTTATAAGGTTTTTGATTGTTTTTAAAAGACGCCTGCATCATCAGCACCTAATAAAATGCGTACAAACTAGTTTTCCTTTTGACCGCTTCCATCCAAAAAAGCGCGGCCGGCGCATCCACAGCCTCATAGTAGGCCCAAACGCCTAAACTGCGTGGTGAATTGCAGGCCTATAAGCGACATTTCGTCGGTTATAAATCGTTACGCTCACTTTATGTGCACTATATGTAAAAAAATATTTTTATTTTATGAAATCATTGTAACAATTAAGAGTTATAAGAGTGGATAAGTGATTTTTGGGTCATGAATAACGGTGGCCGCAAGAACCCTCATCAAAATGGAAACGTTCATATCAAATGTTCATATATTTTTATTAAATTAAAAACATTTGCCATTGTTAAAGGCTAAAAAATCACAGGATGCTACCGGGAACATTTACATTTTTTTTTAAAGAACCTAAACAGGTTCCCCAAAATATGCCAGAATTCGCATTTATGGTCAAACGCCCATTTTCAACATTGACCAGGTGTTTATACCCGATCGGAAACCCGTTTATCCTTATACAGGGTGACGCGCAAAGTTTTTTCAAGAAGGTTTGCGACCATAATCCTGGTTAAGATGCAATAGTGCGAGGTCTTTGAAGCACCGTTTGCTCAAGGACTTTTGCAAAAAAAACATGCTTCCTTCTCTGGCGTGAACAGTAATAAAATCTCCCAATATTGTCTTGTTTCAACATGTAAGAACAACAAAACGCACTAAATATTGGGGGAAAATGCTTGGGTTCATTGAGGATTTATCAACGACGCAAAATCATTTTTCCATACTTATTTCTATGCTTATTTCTGCACATTCTACAAAACATCAACATATTCATTAAGCTAGATTGAGCCATTTCAAAGCATTATTTGACTGACACCCAACGGTTCAGCTAATGACACGATTTTTTCTAATGACATTGTTTTAATATTAATATTACGTTATCGCGGAAATGGGCGAAGCAAAAATCCACATCGTTGCAAGCCTGTTCCTTATTGCATTTGCATGGAATAATAAAAGACACAGATTTGATTAGTTTGTTATTCACTGAGCATGGCCTTTATCCCACACTAATCTGTTTACAAAATCACACTTTTCGCCAAGGTTGCATTTTCTAGAAGGTTGCCGTTTTTCAGCATCCGGTGCCTTCCGGGCCCTGGAAAGGCACCCTTAACGCCTCCAAGATTCATCCGGTGTGTCCTCAGAGGGACATTTATCGGCGCTCCGAACTGTTTGAGGGCGAGGAGGATTGTCTCTATCTGAACGTCTATTCCCCGAAGGTAATGGCTTGTGATATAATCGCTAAGTGATTATTCACAAAAGAAAAAAACCACGAAATTCCCCAATTAACGTCCAGCTGGCGTATCGGCGACCTCGAAATGGGTTTTTTCGTTAGATAACTATTCCCTTGCGACTTTCCTCACAGCTTCCCACCGAAGAAGATGCTTCACTTCTTCCTGTTATGGTCTTCTTCCATGGCGGCGGGTGGTTGTGTGGAGGAGGCAACACCATGTGGTACGGTCCTGATGTCCTACTGGATCGAGACGTGGTGCTGGTGGTGCCAAATTACAGACTTGGTAAATCAATGGAAACCTTCACTTAATTAGAATAATCTAAGATTGCTGGCACTAATTAAGCGCGCTTAATTGTCGGCTTTTTCGTGAGCAATTATCTCTGTTGCTTGTTTTAAACAGTTCGATGTATACTTAAGAGATGATGGCTGGCCTTTGTCGGTTCAAGTGGCTAAATCGCCTTGTCATAGCAATTAAATGCTAAAAAATCGATATGTACTCGATCATTGCAAAGGTGACTTTTAAAAAGTGCAAAACTATGTGCCATTTTAATTAAAAACTTGATCAAGTTAATGCGCATTTGGCTAAAGCGGGATTAGCGAAAAAAACTAAATATATTAAATTGGTTTTTTAAAATATTCAGTGTCAATCAAACTCAGTTTGGTGTAAATTCGGTCGCAAATTTCCTTTTATTAAGACGCGTGTAACTCATTTGGGAATTCAAACTGGTCAGAGCGCTTATTGTATGTAAATTGAACACTGCTGTGCATACATATTTAGATCATTTATGGGAAAGCTGATTATTTCAATTGATTTACGAGGAATTAGACATAATCTAAATGAATTATCTAAATCTCTAAGCGAATTAAGCAGAGAGAGACTAACAAGGTGTTAAAAACGTTTTAAAATCTGTGTATTTAGGTTGTTGGGTTTACCGGCCAGTGGATAGCGGCAGAAAATAAAAACACTATTTTTCTTGCGCCAAAATTTCAAATTAAGTTATCAACAAACAAAAACAGAGAAACTGGTGTAAATCGATTATAAAGGGCAAAGGACAAAACGATGTAGTGTAAAAAATAGGTGTTTTTTATTTAAAAAATGAATTTATACATTTTTGTTCTTGCTAAAAGTAATAGAATTTGCGTCCATTGCCAATTTTATTTGTTAGTTTTTTGTAATTCATCAGTTGATTGTTTAATTGCGGATAGCGGAGATAAGCTTCCAGGCATTTTTAATTTTTTTTGCGAAAAATTATGCATTTTCTTCGAATTGGAGATTGTCTATATTTTTATGAACAAATCGAATTTTTTAAAGTCGGAAATTTTTGACATCTTGCTCTCACCTTCAATCAATAATCTCCAGAAATGCAAGTGTTAATTGGCCTCCAACAAGCTGTGATTTAACTCCACCAAATTTTTTTCTGGGTCGATGAGAACAAAATTTGAATTATTTAGGCGTTGAAACGCACTATTGAGCGCTGCATTAATAAATTTCAAAAATTTAAAGCCGCTTTATTGGAGAAAACCATCAAAAATTGGGTTCATGGCATCCGAATCGTTTATAATTCGGGAAAAAATTCAGAACTTAATTTTGCTTTAAAAAAGCCAATTGAAATTTCAAATTTTCTCTGAAAGATGATGGATTTTCTGAAAGTGGCACTTTATCGTCCTCGTTTTGCGTCATTTTCTTGCGATCAAACTGCGAATTATTGACGCGTCGAAGTGAAATATTGAACCCCGCATTCCTCAAATTAGAGCTAATTTACTGGGGCGAAAAAAGCCATCGAAAATCCATCAAATCAGCTCCTGCAGGTGAACATTTGAATGAAGTGTTCCGAACATCAATTATCAATATTAATCAATTAAAAACCTTTGCATTGATGTAAATATTTTGTATTTTATTTAATTTGAAGAACAAATCGTTTTTATCGGAAAATCCTTTATTTAACCGAACAACTGGTTTTGCAGTCCGAACTAATCCGGTGATGCAGAAAATTGCGCAAATAAAACTGCGTTATGAATTAACTAACGAAACAAATTATGTGCTACTATTTCAGGTGCTCTGGGCTTTCTGAGTACGGGGGATGAAATTGTGCCTGGAAACAACGGCTTAAAGGACCAAAACTTGGCATTAAGGTGGATCCAATCGAACATCCAGTATTTTGGGGGCGATCCGAAGAGCGTCACGCTTTTTGGGGAATCGGCTGGAGGCGCCAGCGTTCACTACCACATGATGTCCCCAATGAGCAAAGGTCAGAAAAAACGCCGCTTTTTAAAGAAATTTCCATATTCCACAAAAATGTGTAACGATTTATCTATGAATGCTTTTAACACAAGTCGTTTAAAACAACAGTCAGGATACCGGCGCTAATTGCCCCTCGTCTTGCTAAATTCAGCCTGATATGTTGCAACATTAGCACAAGATCGCCTAGTAAAATGCAAGGACGATTTTTCTTCGCGTTCATATTTTATGTCAAATTGCATTCGGTTGGTGTTTTCACTCGGCTAGCGCAATTTTGCAATAGCTGTTCAATACAGGGACGTTTCTCTAAAGTGGCCACTGTTCACCTTCAATGCCCCGGCTGGTAAAACTTTAATCTGCACCCACTCGGTATATATGTACATATAAAAATTCCTAATAGTTGAAAAGCTGCTTTGCATAAATGTAAGCGATATTTAAATCGAGTGCCTGCATTTTCCAGAAATGACGCCGATTATTGGCGTTATGCATTATGCAGATACCGGATTTACCCATAAATGTTTATTATATTTGAGAAATCGGCTGTAATTGTGCGCATCGTTTCGGAGCGATTTTCAATGTTTCTGAGCCATTGAATCGGCACAGTGCGTCTAGAACAAGGGCGGATCCAGGGGGGGTCATGGGGGTCATGACCCCCCCCTATTCAATTCTCTATCCAACGGTGCCAAAACGAATTCTCTAGCTCGAATGGTTCTTGAGAAACCTCGAAAAAAGCAGCGTCATGTTCAAGTGGATTTTGCAACTCAAAGAAAACCACGCAAATCTAAAACTTCTTGAATTCAAGCATTTTTTGAGAAAACTGCCAACATTTCCCCATCCATGGTTCACTTTTTAAAAAGGCCATTTATTTCTGTCTAGAATGATGTACAAATGAGCGTTCTTGCTCATTTTGCCTCCGAGTTATGAGCAAAAACGGGACGAAAAACATGAAATTTTGGCATAATCTTG